TTCCCCTACTCCTCCATCTCCATCTTGGTCATTAATATAAACTTACGGGTATGAGTTGATGTATTGGTTCTTCAAAGTTAACGATAAAAAGTTTCGGAATTATTTTTGGACTAATCAATATAAAATTTTGTAACGTCCTCCAGATAGGGTCATCGGAGTCATGTTCAATTTAGCTCAGCTATTTTATATATGTATAATATCCATCGATTTAAGGGATATATTCGGTCAGCAAACTATGTTTCGCGTGTAGATATTTCAATGACTATTTTAATAGATACTGTCAAGCTGTTGATTTTGAGCACTCACCATAGCGATCCTGAATTTCCATAAAGGCCAAGCGATACTAATAAAAGACTGCTGGCGCTTATCGTACGTTGTCTGTTTGGCTGTCACTCACGTCTGTGGCCTCGCCGAATGCGCGGTATGTTTCCGAGCAAAATCAAACCGCGACAGCCGACGGCATGTGCTGGTTTGATCCACACAATCTGCTACTGACGCTCCGAAATATCATGTCATAATTCCCAGAGCCTGCTGTTGCTGGAAAAATACAAAAATCAAAATTCTTTCTATAAATTTTACCAAACTTTTTACAAATATTAACAATTATAAAAATAGATTATTTTATTATAAATTAATGATGATTGGAAATAAAAGTTTCCAACCTGATGTCAATTTCGAAAAAGCAATGTGTCTGTACACTGATAAAAAATTTAACTTGACTCAAGAGCAAGGATCTTGAACCAAGAACACCAATTTGAAGAAAATGATTTTTTTTTACCCGAGGAAAAATTCTTGAACCAAGAATTACATCTTGACTCGAGAATTTTTCCTCTTAGCTCAAGAAATTCACTTTCTTCAAATTGATGTTCTTGGTTCAAAATTCTTACTCTTGAGTCAAGTTAAATTTTTTATGTGTAGTAAAACCCAAATGCTGCTAAGTATCACGAAGAAAGGAAAACACCAGTAAAAAATAAGTAAAGAGGATATAGCATCTTATTTCGTCTAAATCCAAAGAAGACTCAAGGCTTCTGACGTGAAAAAGGGTTTCACCTCCGGTTACAATTCCAGCTAAGCCGATATACATTAATTACAATAAGAAATAGAGCTCTGGAAGTGAAAACTTTTTACTCGCACCAGCTTATCAACTTCCCCTTGAATTTTATATTATTTAAGAGAATGCTTTTCGTCTCTTTTATATCGCCCAGTTTTTAACGACCCTTCTCTTTCGCTCTCAACTTCTATCGCCGCTACATTCAAACTCATCGCACTATCCATCTCATGTCACACACCTCACATTCTCACTTCTCAGCCTACAGTGCTGTTCTACGATATAAAAGTTAACAAAACTTAGTTCCTCAGTGTCCCACGCAAAGAGGCGAAGATGCATGGCATTTGAAGTTTACTAAATGTCATTAGCATATTTATTTGTCGTTGAAAGTAGTTTGCACTCTCGCCCAGAGTCAATATATGTATATAAATATATTCCGGTCGATCCTTTACTTACATTAACCATGCATACAGACGAATCTTCCTCTACTCGTCTCTACATAGCCTTACATATTTATAAATGTTTTTACTTTTAGAAATTTTCATCCTATCAAACATATTTCGTGATTTTAATTTACGAGTTTAAACAAGTTTTTCAAAACTATGACATCTTGATAATAAAATTATCATAAATGGAATTCTCGAAATTCTAACTTCAATTCCTGTCAATTATGTACGACCTAATATTAGTACCTAATGATCATTCCGACATTTTATTTGAAATTTAACATGTGAATGAGCTTGTATGAGTATATACATCTATAAAAGTTTTTTTTTTAAATGTAGCAAGTACATGGGGTACATCTATACAGCTCTGGGCCATGAAATGCGGTATTTTTGCAATTCCGCATCGATGAACGCAACAGGCAGCTTTTCCCATACAAATCCAACGCTAAACTAGGAATAAATCTACTGAGAAACTAAAACGAGTACACTTCTATGTATTTATAAAGCACTCTCATCACTCATTACGTGAATTTATATGCGTTAAAAAGTATAAATAAATTTTTGCGAATAAATGAGTCATTAAAACTTGCTTTAAATTTGATAAAAATATACAGCGACTACGCACCAGGTTTGATGCTCACGCATTGCGTTGATGCTATCTTTTCCCTCGGGCATCGAACAATTTAAGCACTCACTTTACTGGCCTTCCATTAAAAACAAAATGCTCGATTACCTTCACAAACAGTTATTTCATTACTATTGTTATGTAAAGAAACTTTTCTTTACATATTTATTAATTATAAAAAATCGAGTATAATTTTATTTAAATTTTAACGATTGTAAAAGATAATTCGAGTGTGGTCATTAAGTGTCTCGTTCGATCTTTGCAAAAGGCCCAGAGAAATTCCTGTAATTAGTCTGGAAGCCCAGGTATTTTAAAGAGATTAAATAGATAAATGGGAGTTTTGTTATACGTAAGCAAACTCACTTATACTCAAAATAAGAAATACTTAAAGATAAAGAACATTAGATAAAAAGATTTATTTTAAACCAAAAGATTTTAGAATAACT